CGATAGATAGATAGATAGATAGATAGATAGATTAGATAGATATGAATAGGCCGATAGATAGATAGATAGATAGATAGATAGATAGATAGATAGATAGAATATGAATAGGCTGCGATAGATAGATAGATAGATAGATAGATAGATAGATAGATAGATAGATGAATAGGATAGATAGATAGATAGATAGATAGATAGATAGATAGATAGATAGATAGATAGATATGAATAGGCTGCGATAGATAGATAGATAGATAGATAGATAGATAGATAGATAGATAGATATGAATAGGCTGCGATAGATAGATAGATAGATAGATAGATAGATAGATAGATAGATAGATAGATGAATAGGATAGATGATAGATAGATAGATAGATAGATAGATAGATAGATAGATAGATATGAATAGGCCGATAGATAGATAGATAGATAGATAGATAGATAGATCAAACAACATGATAGATAGATAGAAGATAGATAGATAGATATGAATAGATAAGATAGATAGATAGATAGATAGATAGATGAATAGATAGATGGATAGATATGAATAGGGATAGATAGATAGATAGATAGATAGATAGATAGATAGATGAATAGGCCGATAGATAGATAGATAGATAGATAGATAGATAGATAGATAGATAGATAGATATGAATAGGCTGCGATAGATAGATAGATAGATAGATAGATAGATAGATAGAATAGGCTGCGATAGATAGATAGATAGATGATAGATAGATAGATAGATAGATAGATAGATATGAATAGGCTGATAGATAGATAGATAGATAGATAGATAGATAGATAGATATGAATAGGCTGCGATAGATAGATAGATAGATAGATAGATAGATAGATAGATAGATAGATATGAATAGGCTGCGATAGATAGATAGATAGATAGATAGATAGATAGATAGATAGATAGATAGATATGAATAGGCTGCGATAGATAGATAGATAGATAGATAGATAGATAGATAGATAGATATGAATAGGCTGCGATAGATAGATAGATAGATAGATAGATAGATAGATAGATAGATAGATAGATAGATAGATATGAATAGGCTGCGATAGATAGATAGATAGATAGATAGATAGATAGATAGATAGATAGATAGATAGATAGATATGAATAGGCTGCGATAGATAGATAGATAGACCCATCATGACACCCACTGAGATGAGGCCATGCCAGATATATGCATCGGTCACACCACGGCCACATCATGTTCCTGTACGATCACCGAAGTTAAGCAATGTTGATCCTGGTCAGTAGATCGGTGACCACTTCAAAGATTTTGCCATGTCAGTAAGAAAGCGCATTCCGTTTTTGTGGTTGTGGTCACGATTATTATTATTATTATTATTATTATTATCATTCGATTTTATTGGACACACTACCTACCAATGCGGAAAGATTAAGGCAGGTCGTGGTGTGTTGTTATACATTTCAGTTTTTTTTTTTTTTTTTTTTTTTTTTTTTTTTTTTTTTTTAATTATTTCCTCCCAGATTCCATACAGAGACCTAAGGTTAGAAATTGAAGAACCTGGCTGACGGCCACATCACGTTGAAACACCGGTTCCAGTGCCATCACTAAAGTTAAGCAATGTCGAGCCTAGTCAGTACCTAAATGGGTAACTACTTGAAAATACCAGGTGCTTTAAGCCTCGATGTGCCGGGTGGTGTAATGGATAATGGCTCAAAATTGTTAATCAGAGAGCCCAGTTCTAATTCCAGTTGGGTTCGTTATATTCTCTTACACGCAAATACCCTTGCCAAAGGTATGAATCCATCTTTTTCGCACCCCTCCAGCAATGGGTTAATTAGTAAGACGAATAAATTAAGCAACATCTATCCTAGCCAGTACCTAGATGAGTGACCACTAGGGAATAAATACCAAGTGGTGTACGCTTGGAATTGTGGTTGGTGTAATGAAAAATGGCTCGGAATTGTTAATCGGGGGCCGTGTTCCAATTCCAGTTGGGTTTGTTGTATTCATTTGCGCGCAAATGCTCTTCGGAAAGCTAAGGGTTAATTATTAAGAGTTGTATCACTAAAATCATTATTATCTCTAAATATAAAATAAAATTGCGATCAAAATATTTAGAGTTCGGCATTAAATAACCCGTAGAGGTGTTGATATGCCGTTAAAAACAAAAACAAAAATAAAACAATAACAAAACAAAACAAAAAAAAAAACAACCAGCAAGCATTACAGCCAAATGTGCTTTATATGAAGTTTTGATAAAATCCACATACAATCTTGCAGACGGGGCCTAGTTTGCAATATTTTCAGGTTGGGTAATCCATTTTGCTGGGAGTTTCTAAGTATGTAGAGGGTGTTTTTAAGTATTTAAATGTGATACTCAATGTCTAAAACTTCAAACTGCAAGAAAAAAAAAACAGACAAAAAAAAAATTATCCTCACAACTGTCAGCCATGATGTTTAATCTTCATTTCCATTCATGGTTATAATTTATTTTTGTGTGTATTTAGCGTAGACAGACGAATTGGATTCATTTAGCTGAAATTTGGTGTTCGCATTCTTTTACAAACTAGGAGTGTGAAAAATCTGTTTGAATTGCACCAAATTGTTTTTTCGAAAGAAAAATGGGTTATTTAACATGTATCTTAAACGATTTTTATCTACCATTGTAACAACAATGATACTTGTCCCTTTCATCAGTGTTAATGCACTTATAATTTAAGTAAACAAACAATGGACTACACTTTAATCATTTTCTATATAAGGTTTCCAAGGCGATTCTATAAGCGTCATCTTTTTGCAACAAAATTAAGTTTAATCTTGGCGAAGATCGCGTGAAGGTATCGTCTGCAAAATGGAAGCTATAACCACGTGAACAGGCGAAGAATGAATGACGACTGAAGGAAATAAGACGACTTTAAATGTTTCTCTTGTTCATTGAAGAGAAATTATAAAAGTAGAGACCCTTGAACGTGTTTGTTTTTCGACTTCGAAACTATGCTAGCTCAGTTCAGAAGTACATTTTTTTTTTCTTGTTGCTTTTCTTTAAATTCTGGTTACGCCAGGGAATTTTGTTCGTCGAGAGGAAAATGGGTCGATATGGCAGGGAGAAGAAACAATATGGAGGCTAGAAAGAAAAGAAATGGGAGAAGAAGAAAAAAGTCGGATGCAAGATGTCAGAATGTGAATGAGTCAGATTTGGTGGGGGTGGCGGGTAGAAAGGCCAAGGCGAATTGTAAACGATGGTGGGGGGAAAACCAAGAAGGCTTACGAATGGGTCTGAGAAACAGCGTGATACATCAAAAAGGAGCCAGTGTGACAGAAAAAAGAAAAAAAAAATGAAAAGGAACAAATGAAGAATTCGAAATTGTCTCTGAATTCTCAAAATGGGGATAGCAAAAAAGTTCGCTTGTTTTTTGAATTAATAAAAAAAACTAGTTTTTCGCGAATTTAACTTCATCGGGCAACATAATAATGGTAAAAGAAAAATTCAGTATTCACTGACCGAGCAGCCGGTTACGCTTCTCTTTTCACTCTCTGGCTCTGGGGCTGAGATCAATGTGTAGTATCAGTACCTGGTCTAGGTGCACGCGCTCCCCACATTAAACTGACCTTGTGTCAAACATTGCCAGCGTGGAACGGCAAGTAAATACTGAGTTCAGTATCTAAATCCAGCCATGGACAAAATACGTCCCGTGGGTCAAATGCGGCCCGATTGGCTTTTCTCAATGGCCCGCCTAATTTCACGAGGAAAGCAACGTTTATTAAAATGTTGTTTGTTCCTTTTCGTTCTCACTTATTCACTCACACATTCTCTCATGCATTACCATGTACATAAACCCTGATTAAGTGCAATGTTTCTTGAAATTTGCAACTTTTCGTTGAGGGCAACGTTGTCAGCATTTTAAACCACTGGCGATTTTCACTAAGGAAGATCATACGTGTAAACATCTTTTGCTTCAGAAACAGGAAACATCAATGAGAATTAATTATTCTTCTTTTATGAATATTTTTGTCTATTCAAAAGAATAAATTTGAAAGAAATCACATCCAGCAGTGTGTGTTAATCACGCTGTCGTCAGTGAAAATAGTACAACAAGACTTCAATTTTATTTAATTATACAAGGAATCTTTTCTCCAGAGAAAAAGAATAAAATTTTTTCCATTTCCTTATTTGGTTGGGAAATAGTCGTGGTATCTTTAATAAAAACATAACTTCATCCTGGAGTAAGCATATATATTTTAGAAAAATTGATATGTATTGGAGCGCTTCAGTGAAGGAGAGCAAGAAGAAAGGACTAAGCACAAACTGTAAGAATGCATGATCATCAGTAAAAGGATAATCCCAAAATGTGAGTTACAGGTCAGGGACACTAAAATCAAGCAGGTACGGAAATTTAAATATCTGAGAAGCGTTTTGGCAGAGGATGGTAAGCGCAACGCTGAGATCCGAAAACGTATAGGCATGGCCAAGGACTCATTCTAAAAGCTGGGCAGAGTATTGCGAGACAAGAGGATTCCTTTGGTAACAAAGAAAAAAGTACACAGCAGCTACGTGATATCAGTCCTCCTTTATGGCAGCGAGTGTTGGACGGTCTCTTCAAAGATGAAGAAGAGACTCGAGGCGACAGAAGGATGCTGAGGATATAATGGACAGAACGTGTGAGTAACAATGAGGTTTTGGAGAGAATGCAAACAAGGAAGAAGCATATACTTAACGTGAGAAAGAGGCAGCTGTAATTTCTGGGACACGTAATGAGAAAGGAGGGCTTGGAGAATCTGATACTCACAGGTCGAATAGAAGGAAAGAGAGACAAGGGAAAGCAACGTATGGCATACCTGGCGGGCTTAAGCAAGTGGATGACATTGAGAACTAGGAGGAAATGGAGAACCATGATCACCCACGTCCTGAAGGGACATGTCACATAAAAAGAAAGAAAAGAACGTCAAGGAGGAGATAACAGTCTTGGTGTACGCTGACTGGTGTCTGGAACCATTTTCCTATGATTCCATGGAATATTCCTGACTTCTATGCCTTATCAAAGAAGTACCGAGTAAGATGTATCAACAAAAAATCTTTGGAAGACAAAAATATCACATCTTCAATCTTCTAATCTTTGACCTAACATCCCTAGGGAGCAGTGGGGGGCCTTAATACGTAATCTTGCCTCTCGAATAAACGGGGGTCTATCAAATAAGTGGGGGGGTGATGTTTCAATTTAAAAAAAAAAATAATAAAGGCGGAGGGTTAGAAAAAGAAGGCAAAAGTTGTTCCGAAGATAGAAAAATAAACAAACATTGCAGATATGGAATTTTCTCAGTCTGTGCATTATCTATCTATCTATCTATCTATCTATCTATATATATATATATATATATATATATATATATATATATATATATATATATATATATATATGTGTGTGTGTGTGTGTGTGTGTCTGTGTGTCTGTCTGTGTGTCTGTCTGTGTGTATCTCAGTCTGTTAATATCTATCGATTTCTCTTTCTATCTTAGTCTGTTCATATCTATTATAGTCTTTTCATATCTATCTATCTATCTATCTATCTATCTATCTATCTATCTCAGTCTGTTAACATCTATCTATCTATCTATCTATCTATCTATCTATCTCAGTCTGTCTATATCTATCTATCTATCTATCTATCTATCTATCTATCTATCTATCTATCTCTTTCTATTCACATCTATCTATCTATCTATCTATCTATCTATCTATCTATCTATCTATATATATGTGTGTGTGTGTGTGTGTGTGTGTGTGTGTGTGTGTGTGTGTGTGTGTGTGTATCTCAGTCCGTTATTATCTATCGATTTATATTTCTATCTTAGTCTGTTCATATCTATTATAGTCTTTTCATATCTATCTATCTATCTATCTATCTATCTATCTATCTATGTCAGTGTACTTATACAAGGAATCTTTTCTTCAAAGAATCAATTTTGTTGGGAAAATGTCGGTGATATCTTTAATAAAAGAAAAATATCTTAATTCTTTTAGTTGTGAGGCCAACTTTATAATATACCTCACGTGGTCCACTGTTCGAAAAATGCTGCCTTATTTAATCTTAAACTGTAATGGTGATATTAGTAACCATTTTATTATAAGGAAATATTCAGCATTACCGGGCAAAGTAGCAAGTGAAACTGTCGGTTGAAACAATTTTTTTTCAGAAAAATACGTTTCTCATGTCCAGTAGCTGTTGTCGCTCTTTCTAATGCTAATGAGGAGATTCCTTAAGTGTAGTTGCAAAAATATAATAAGAAGATGATGAAGAAGAAGAAGAAGAAGATGAAGATGAAGATGAAGAAAGAAAGAAAGAAAGCAAAACAATAAACAACACCAAAATGGCGGTTTCCAGTGGAAGAGGTTGATGAAATTGAATTAAGAGAAAGCGACGCTTGAATCGAAAGAGAGGTTATGATGGTCGCCTGTTGGTTGGGAAGAGAGGGGAATGAATCGAAATGGAATTTCTGACCTCGCTCTGACTTGTCTATTTTCGGCACTGTTTTGCCTAGATTTATTGTACATGTGTCACCACCGCCCGCACGTCTATGCCTCTCTGTTTGGAGAATATCTGCCAGTCTTCATATTTGTTTCTCACTATGGATACACATACACAAACGCGCATATATATATATATATATATATATATATATATATATATATATATATATAATCCCGAAATTTAGTACGAAACTTAATTCTTTATTTTGCTTAAATTTTCATGTTTTTTTTGTTTTTGTTTTTTTTTTTTTGTTGGTTTTTTTTTTTTTTAATTTGCAAGTCAAACTAGAACACGTCTCCGAGGCAGGAACGTCCAGAACGCAGGGACATTCTCTTTCTTTCTCTCTTTCTTTCACTCTTTCTCTTCCTTTCTCTCTCTCTCTCTCTCTCTTTCTATTTCTCATTCTCTCTCTGTCTTTTTCTTTCACCCTCTCTCACTCTCTTTCTCTCACTCTCTTTCTCTCACTCTTTCCCTCATTCTCGCTCTTGCTCTCTCTATCTGTTTCTCTCTTCTCACTTTCTCTCACTTTCTCTCTCTCTCTCTCTCTCTCTATATATATATATATATATATATATGATAAAGTTAATTAGTAACATGTGTGGATAATTCCAGGAAGTATATAAATCCTGAGAGCAGTTTCATGCTAGACGCAATCATCGTGGCCTGACGATTGCGTCTAGCATGAAACAGACTGTCACTTCTAAGTGTTGACTTCAATAAATATATATATATATATATAATGTTATATATATATATATATATATATATATATATATATGTAAGAGGATGGAGATCACATAGCAATCTATCACTCTTTTCGTTGTTTCTAATGAATTTTTCCGTTACTCAGCTACTCCTGATTTGGTTTGGTTTGGTTTGGTTTGGTTGACAGCCTATCAACATCAATGAGTTAATGCCGATAAAATTTTATTCCTGGCAATATTTTTTTTTCAAAAATCTATTGAAGGTAATATTTTCCAAAAATGTATAGCTGATAATATTTTTCCCAAAGAAATATATTTCCGGTAACATTTTGTTTGTACTAATTTTCCTTTAAAATTACATTGCTGGCAATAATTTTTTCCTTCACAAAAGCATTGCTGGTAATAATTTTTCCTTCAAAATTGTATCTTGGATAATAATTTTTCTTTCAAAACTATATTCACTGTTTCTTCAAAAATATATTGCTGGCATTAATACCAGTTTTTACACCTCTACGGCGTTTTGAGCTCTGTTTGGGGGGTCAACTATTTGTCCATAGCTAGGACCCTAACAGGTGCTACCACCCCGGGTCTGGTCGGACCTGGGAATACTAGTAATTAAGAGGTGGCCCCATGCTCCTCAAAATCTCCTAATCAGAGGTCTGGTTGTCGGATATAGTTTAATATCTTACCCGGGACGCGGATGTAGTTGTTCATCTTATCCAGGCCGCGCTACTCCTGCAAAATCTCGTCGGATATTTTGAGCTTCTTAGTAAAAAGTAAGCCAATTCATTAATTTCTTTTAGTTCTGTCGTTCTTTTATTTTGCTCACCAGTGTATTCCGTATGTGTATGAGTTTGGACAATGTCTTGTAAGAGAAAACAGATGGAAACAAAAGACTTTGGTTATAACTAAATATAAGGTATGAATCTTAGAATGCCATTATAAGTAAAAAAAATGATTTATGGAAAAAAAAGAGTAAAAGATTTAAGTTTTTATATTCTTTTTTTTTTTTTCCGCAGGTGTTTGCGGGGGTACTTTCAACACTGTCTTTGATTGGGTACGACGCCGGCCAAATGAGCAGTTCATTTTCAACACCTACTTTTTTCGTGGTAACCGCTATTGGATGTATGAAAACCATGCGAATAGGACGCGATACGGTGACCCGTTGAATATCGGCCGAGAGTGGGAAGGAGTTCCAAATGACATTGACGGATATGTACATATATGGTTTTTTGACAGCATCGCTGGTATTGTTGACGTCACTTACTTCTTCAAAGGTAAGAGACTTCATTTAATTCATATCGGAATTGTTAGCTCGATAGATATTAACATAGATAGATAGATAGAGAGAGAGAGAGAGAGAGATGAAGAGATTAAGATAGATAGATTGATAGATAGATAGATAGATAGATAATGAATATATCTGACAGATAGAGAAGATAGATAGATAGATAGATAATGAATATATCTGACAGATATATAGATAGATAGATAGATATGAACCGAATAAGATAGATAGATAGATAGAGAGATATGAAGAGAATGAGATAGAAACAGATAGATAATTAACATAGTGAGATAGATATTAACAGAGATAGATAGATAACGAAGAGTCAATGATAGATATATAGATAAATAGATAGGCAGATATTAAGAGTGAGATAGACAGATAGATAGATACATAGATATTGATAGTGATATATATATATATATATATATATATATATATATATATATATATAGACAGAGAGATAGAGATAGTTATTAACAAAGTGAGATAGACAGATATATAGATAGTTATTAACAGAGCGAGATAGATATTAACGCAGTGAGATAAATATTAACACACACACAAACACACATACATATATATATATATATAGATAGATAGATAGATAGATTAATAGAGTGAGATAGATATCAACAGAGTGATATATATTCATATAGAGACAGATAGATAGATGGATACATAGGTATTAACAGAGTGAGCTAGATAGATATTAATAGAGTGATATATATATATATATATATATATATATATATATATATATATATATATATATATATATATATAAAATGAAGAGTTAAGGATAGATAGATATTACTAGAGAAGGAGATTCATAGATGTTATCAGAGTGAGTTAGATGTCAAATGAGTGATATATATATATATATATATATATATATATATATATTTTCATTCTTTTCATTTTCATTTCAGCTTTTTGTAAGTAAAGTCTGATGATCCAGAACCCTGTTAAAGGGTTTAACGTGAAATGTCTTTTATTACATGTAATCTTAACGTGGTCTGTCTTTTATTAAAAAAAAAAATATATATATATATATATATATATATATATATATATGTATTGCTCTTTCTGGATTAAAAATACATATATTTTTAATATTTTATTTTATATATATATATATATATTTTTTTATATATATATATATATATATATATATATATATATGTATATATGTGTGCTTAAGTAACGCTTCTAACAGAATTTACAAGTCTCTAATCACATGTATCATTTTTTTTACTCATTCGAGGCCCCCCATTCAGTGCGTCTGTTCGTCTCTGACTATAGTGTTGATATCTTTTGGATTAATTCCATTAAATTTTGTATTTTCAGTGTTGCTCTCATTTTCTCATTGTTCACTCAAAATCAGCAAGGCTTCTGTAGTTGTTAAAAAGCTCCGAGATTAAACACTTTTAATCTTTGATATCATTTTCGGACCGATCTCTTCAGGTTTGTCGTTTTACGACAACCTTTTGACAGAGATATTCTTTGGTTAAAGGACGTCAATTAACGTTTTTTCGCTGTTTTTACTTTTCACGTCCGCCTTTTGAAGAACTTTGCTTTGTCTTCCTGCTCTACACCTTGTGCGTGTTGATAAACGAAGAGAAAGAACTTCTTGGAAGAATTATTATAAACCTTTTGCTAGTACCGTAATTGTTTTTGAATAACACGCACTTTTGTATAGCAAGTCAAAGGTGCGCCTTTAACTCTGGGTTATGGAATTCTGGGTAAAAAGAAATTTCATGTATAAAACGGATTGACTTTTTAGAATTTTTGCAGCAGCTAATTTTCACCTCAATTTAAGATTGTTCAACTTTTTAGCCAGTTCGTTCAGTCAAAAAAAAAAAAAAAAGAATTTCTGGCAAAGTTTAACAAATGTACCCGCAAAATAAAAAAAAAAAACAAAAAAAAAAACGGTGTGTCAAGAGGACGGTTTTTCTCTTGACGCCACAATTACGGTATAATCCCTCTGCAATGTTTTAAAAAGCTATTTTTTAGAATTTTAATAAAATACAAACATATATGAAAATGAATTTATACATATTTTCGTGAGAACTGACAGCAAAAATGTTAAACATTATTTATTAGTTTCTTTATTTACAAGATCAATTTTATATTTAGAAATTTATAAAAAAAAAATAAGCGCACTATCTATAACGCAATAATTATTATTCACCATATTATAAAGAAATAATTATGAAAACGAATTTGTTATTCATAAATTTATAAAAATGTCTGTGCAGAAGTCAACAAGAAAATTTAAATAAACGCATAACGGCTAGTAACTATAATTTTTAAAAAATTAATTCTTCCAGCCTTTCTTTCATTTCATTCACTAAAATTGGTTACGAGCATTTGGATTTACACATTTTTAACTCGAGAACTGACAGCAAAAATGTTACTGTTTATTTATTTTTTATATGCAAGAATAAATTTGACTACGTTTAACAAATGTCTCCGAAAAAAAAATGAGATAGGTTACAGTAATACTAGTGGTAAGAGAAAAACTGGCCTTTTAACAAAGCTTATTTTGCGGGTCTATTTGTTAAACATTGCCGAATTTCTATAGTTTACCTTATGTTTTGAAATCCAGTATTTCGAAGAAACGCCCGGGACACATTCAAAGAAAAATGCAACAAGCTCGCGACAAAATAACCTCACACTATGAGAAACACAATTATAAAACGACACATATTCCAGTGGCTGCTGTGTAGCGTTGTAAAACAGTATTAGGTATTGCAACTTTCTTTTTGAGGAAGACGGACAAAATGGCTCTGTGGACGATGATATGGAAGATCATGAAATTTACTACTACACTGAGAATGTAAATGAAGCTGACCTTAGACACCGCAGCGAATCAAACGAAAATGTTTGTTTGACGCTTTGTTACGCATTAGTTAATTTTGACAAAGCATATAACTTACTTTAGATTATACTATCCAGAATATGGCGACGTGCGTGTCCAGAAAAAAGGTTAATATTTAATTTTCGTGTATAATACGCACCCTACATTTTAGGCTTGGATATCTGTGGAAAATATTGGTTATCATACACAAATCGTTACCTTATCCATTAATCTTAATTTCAGTTAGTTCTTATCCCATCTCCCAGTTTGTTTTTCTGCGATTGTATCAAACGGAGTAGATGGGGAAACAAGGCTCCGGTGAAACTCGAACTCTGGACCCGCTGTTAACGTTGTATCTGAGTAAAAGAAGAGGGTAGCAATGTCATCTAAGAGATTTAAATAATATTTCTCTTAAGGATAATAGCGTGTGTAAGCAAAAATTGTTGCGTATCAGTAGTTCAGGAAAACTTAACAATAGCATGATATGGCTAGATTTGAATTATTGCCACAAGTGTTCTTAGCTTAATTGGTAAAGCTGCTGAAAAGTCCAAAGGGAAACCCGGGAATGAAGGATGCTGCGTAATTAACGATAGGGGAATGGCGATGTGTTTGGTTGCAATAAAACGCAATTGAAAGAAAGATGAAGAAATCACGAATGAAAATGAATCAAAACTGTCAAAGCAGCAGACAGCTTAAGTCTATTAATCCTGGGTGGAAAATTAAGACAAATATAACGAAAGAAAATAAATCCTCGTCATCATCATCATCATCATCATCATCATCATCATCTTCTTCTTCTTCTTCTTCTGCAACACATCTGCTTCTTCTTCTTCTTCTTCTTCTTCTTCTTCTTCATTAATCATTCTCACCGTCTTTTTCTTTTCTTTTATAATCATTCACTTCTTTTTCTTTTTTTACATCCCTTTAAAATCTTTCTTCTTCTTCTTCTTCTTCTTCTTCTTCTTCTTCTTCTTCTTCTTCGTTGATCATTCTCTTCTTCTTTTTCTTCCCTTTTTATAATCTCTTCTTTTTCTTTTTTTACATCCCTTCTCGTTTTTATCATAAAATCTTTCTTCTTCTTCTTCTTCTTCTTCTTCTTCTTCTTCTTCTTCTCCTCCTCCTTCTTCTTTTTCATTGATCATTCTCTATTTCTTTTTCTTCTTTTATAATAATTCTCTTCCTTTTCTTTTTTTGCATTGCTTCTCGTTTTTATCATAACATCTTTCTTCTTCTTCTTCTTCTTCTTCTTCTTATTATTATTATTATTTTTCATCTTTTTCTTTGTTTTTTCTTATTGTTATTCTTCATTTTCTTATTTTTATTTTTATTTTCTTCTTTTTCTTCATCTTCGTCTACTTATTCTTTTCATTCTTCTTCATTTTCTTCTTCTTCTTTTTCTTCTTTTTTCTTTTTCTTTCTTCTTCGTCTTCATATTCGTCGTCTTTTTTTTCGTTTTTTTCCTCTTTTTTCTTCTTCATATTCTTATACTTCTTCTTCTTCATATTCTTCTTCGTCTTCTTCTTATTGTTTATCTTCCCATTCCTCTTCTTTTTTCTTCTTCTTCTTCTTCTATGTGCCGTGTCCCTTCGTGACGTTGGCGATCATAGCCTGTCCTTTGTAACTCTCTTAATATATTTTGTCTTTTTCTTATCTCACCTTAAACCCCGTTTCTGCCCTTCATTGACACAAGCCCGTTCGGTTCTCAGGTCTTTTCCTCCGTCCCACTTGCTTTCAATCTGTCTTGAGCGCCTCATATATTTCTAAGCCCTCTTTACACATTATATGCCCTACACATTTCAATTGCCTCTATCAGATGTTAATTATAATTGCACTCAGAAATGAATCATTAATAAAACTTTCTCTTAGAAATACAATACGTTTTTATACAATCTGCCCGATCGTCCCGTGTAAGATGTTAAATTACATCCGCGCCCCGGGTAAGACAATAAACTCCGTCCAACACCAAGGCCTCTGACCAGGAGGTTTTGAGGTGCGTGGAACCACCTCTTAATTGCTGGTGTTTCCAGGTCCACCCTGACCTGGGGTTGTAGCACCTGTTAGGGTCCCAGCTATGGGCAAATAGTTAACACACAAACTTGTGTAAAAATAGGTTTTAATACCACAAATACTTTGTAATAAAAAATTATTACCAGCAATAATTTTTGAAAGAGAAATTATTATCAGCAATACTTTTAAAAAATACCAGCAATGCAAACAGCTATACATTTTTTGAGAAAAATATGACCAGTTATAGATTTCATCAAGAAAAAATATTCACAGAAATAGATTTTTGAAGAAAATTATATTATCAGATATTATAATAATTCTGTCGGCTTTAAATAACCTATTGAGGTTGATATACCGTAAAACAAACCAAACCAAACCAAACAAACGATATCACTTGGTACATACCTACACACATATAGACTTGCATTGAAAATGAAAAAAATATCAACAAGAAATTAATTCTATGCGGTCAAGAACATCCTGGGTATGATGATAAACTACATCCGCGTCATGGGTATGACAGTAAACTACATCCGCGTCCTGGGTATGAAGTTAAACTACATCGGCGTCCTGGGTATGAGGATAAACTACATCCGCGTCCTGGGTAAGACGATAAACTACATCGAACAGCAAGGCCTCTGATGAGGAGGTTTTAAGGAGCGTGGATCAACATCTTAATTGCTGGTGTTCCCAGGTCCACACTGACCCAGGGTGGTAGCACCTGTTAGGGTTCCAGCTATGGGCAAATAGTTAATACCCAAAACGTGTGTAAAAATAGGTTTTAATAACAGAAATAAAGAAAAAAATACCAGCAATACAAACAGCTATACATTCTTAGGAAAAAATATTCCCAGAAATAGATTTTTGATGAAAAACATATTACCAGCAATAAAAATGTTGTCGGCATTAAATAACCCATTGAGGTGTTGATATGCCGTAAAACAAAATAAACAAAATCAAACAATCTGCCCGAACAAAACAAAGCAAACAATAATTTCTCTTTTTTTTTTTTTATTTAGGTGAGAATTATTATATGTATGACGCTACAGAAGACCGCGTTGTTGATAGCTGGCCACGTAAAATTTCAGAAGGTTTCGGACCCAAAGAAGGCAGCACGATAGGAATCCCTGACAATTTGGATTCTATCTTCTTTGACATGAGAGACAGCAACATTTACTTTTTCAAAGGAGACAAGGTAAGTACTTTGTCAGTTTTGTCTGAATTTCCTTTCGATTGAGGATTCTTTTCTCCTCAATATTTTTAATTTTATACATATAATAGCCGCTAGTATTAATTCCTGACTACTGACAATCCCTTTAATCCTCCTGTTCAATGCTACAAATATTTTCATGGTAATTGTTCTGATGAGTTTTCGTCTTTGATGCCTCGACTTCATGAATTTAAGCGTGCTACTAGATTGGCGGTTAGGTCTCACTGTCGAACTACTTAGATGCAACCGCATGCTCTTTTCTAATAGATTCTTTTATTGCCCTTCTCGACTGTGGAAATCCTTTCTGATTTGTCACGTACAATCTCCAAAAATTAAACGAAACATAATTCGTCATCGTTTGTCTTCAACAAGCCTGTTCTTTTATTGTCCTTTTTCCTCACTAAAGTCTTCTCGTTCTCTTTCATTCTCAGTACGCCCTTGCATCTTAATTCCATTATTGCCTTGCGTGGGGAAATGATTAACATATATATATAATATATATATATATATATATATATATATATATATATATATATATATATATATATATATATATATATATATATTTATTTGAATAAGTTGTTTCATATTATTAAATAATATAGAAAAGTTTTGTCTATTTTTTATTTTAAGCTTTAAGTTATTTCAATATTCATATTAGTCTGTTTTCTGATGAAAAGTTTCAAAATCATTATTGTTTTGAAATTGATGGATATATTGAAATGGAAATCTTTGATAAACCATAGGATTTGATCAACATATTTTTAATCCTATTTAAGCTTATGGAACTTTAGACATTTTCTAATATATCAAACAATACACGGACAAAACAATAATGATAGTATTAAAATATGGATAATATATATAGGTATATATAATTTATTTATTAAAGATATTTTATTATGTTTAACGTTGTTATTTTATAGATTTTATATATATTTATATATATAATATATATATTTATGATAAATATATAGTATTAAATATATATTTACCGGCCTGAATGTATATATATATATATATATATATATATATATATATATATATATAACTGTTCTGTCAGTATTGCTTGTATCAATTCCTGGCCGACGAAAATCCGTTTCTTGGTGATTTTCAATGCATTTCGATATTAAAAGAGATGGTTACCGCTTTTATATGATAAATAAACTATCAGTAACGATTGTCTCAATTCCTGAACACTGGTGGTCACATTTTTTTTCCTTTGACATTTTCTTCTTAACCTGAATTGTGCACGTTTAGTTGTGGAGTTGTTTGTCTGTTACCAGAATTGACCCCGAATACACCGTTGTCACGGCTATGTTATACGTTCTATTTCCTTTTTAACTTGAGCTTAACTCTCAGAGAAACTGGTTGTGGTGGTGGATATGTGTTATCTGAAGCGAACCCGAAAATACCGTTATCACGGTTATGCTACACGCTATTTTAACCTGAATTTGGCTGACGGTGAATTTGGTTGTCTAAAGTGACTCCGTAAAGAGTATAATCTCAGCTAAGCTTTTAGTTTGATTTTTTTTTCTTATTCTGTTTCATTTTATTTATTCTGTTTCAGGTTTATGTGTACAACCCCCGGGGACAGGGTGCGCCGTCGACCACTGGCTGTTGTGAACGTATAGTCAACATCCGTGAGGAGTACCCATCGGCTGATGACAACCCGCTTCCAGACAATTTAGACGCTGTCTATTATTCTTATAAAGAGAAGAGCATGTACTTTCTCAAAGGTGAGGATGTATGGAAAAACGTCCGATTCCATCGAAGACAACGGAATACCGTCAACGAAATCCGTCACGAGGGTAAATGGTATGAACACTGGTATGATATCTGTGATGTCAAAAATACCATTATCACACCGTCTGGCGAAATAGAAGATGTCGGAACTTGAACGTTTGATAAAAATGAAAAAAAAAGAAAAGAAAATGAACTGAAAATTAAAAAAAAAACTTTAAAAAATAAATACCCCCCAAATAAATACTCCCCACACTAGAAATAAATAAATACCCCAATAAATAAATACCCCCAAATCAAGAACGTATCAAAAGGGAGGGGGGGTCAAGAAAAAAAAACAAAAATAACAACAAAACAATAACAACATTAGCAAGGTTATTATATTGTGTATACTTATCTATTTATATATCTATCTTTGAGTGAGGCCTGCTCCACGGGACAAATCAGGAGCAAGCATAATGCCAGCGGCAGTGTGTTTGCTTCCTGATATTTACAGTATGTAAGCAGATCTACACTCTTGTAAGACTGACGTTGCACAATCTTCTTACCAAGTTATCATTCAGTGCATTTACAGATGCATATAACTTAATCGATAACTTAATCGATATATTCGACTCTCAATTCATTCCTATCTATCTATGCAAAGTTCTGTATAAATATTTTTCACGTATTTATAATTAATATTTTCCCCCGCAAATAATTCTCCTTTTTTGACCCCTTTAACACAATCAAGGCGATAAAGCCACTGAAATTAAGGGGTTACTGAGAATGAAAGACACTAGGAGTAAAAGAAACTGTTACATCTAACACCAGAAAATTTGAATTTAAATTTAAGTTTGTGTATCTTTAGTGTTTGTCAATGTAAAATTGTGACTGACATTTCTTGTTTTTTTCTCTCTTCCTAACAACATATATATATATATATATATATATATATATATATATATATATATATATATATATATATATATATATATATATGGTGTTTATAAATTTAGTCAATGGACACATAAATCAAAGGAACTGTACTGTGCACTGAAGAGGAAATATCAAACAAACAAGACGGTCAATGTTTACAAAACAAATCACCCCCAAATAAAACAGACGACAAAAGTATCATGATTAAAAAAAAAACTTTCCTTATTTAACACCACACAAATCATTTAACCATTTTTTAAAAAATAAAATACTGATAAATAGTTTATCAAAATTTACTTATAAATATAGACCAGGATGTCGGAAAGTCTAGCACGAGTTTTAATTTTAATAACTAATGATATACGATAATAAAACCATTTCAAGTTTTAAAATTTTGTTTTTGTTTCTCCAATGTTAATATGGCTGCCATCTTTGTTTGGTTTACACAATGATTGATGAATTTTATAAATACATCCCATAAGTGATGAATTGTTTCTTATACCCTTCATTTTATACACCAATACCTCCGAAAGGAATATCTGAACTGTGGATAGGTTGAAAAGACTTTAACAAAAACGTACCATAAAAACTTGAATTTTGTTCAAGTAATTAACCTCTCTTAAATGAAACCAGGCTTTCAAGGACGAAATACTTTTTCTCTTAAGAAAAAGTATATTTAACTTAATTTATATAATTTTAATCTATGTAATTTTAATTATACATTTAATTTTTCCAACTTCAAGTTATATATTTGTAAATATGCTTTATTTAATTTCACTAAATGCTTTCATCATTTGTATAACTTTAGTTATAAAATTATAAAACCGGTGCCGGACCTTATACGACTCTGTTGACATAAACACATACATATATATCCATGCATAAAACACAAACACACACACACACACATACACACACACACACATATATATATATATATACATACACACATAAATATATATATATATATATATATATATATATATATATATATATATATATATATATATATATATATATACAGGGTGCAGCAAAATACTTTTAAAAACTTTGGGGACGGGTTCCTCAGACCAAAACAGGGACAAAATTCCATATAAACACATGTCCGCAAGTCCTTCATATTTTAATTAAATTTAAAGCAAGTTTACGGTTGCTGGCGCTGTGTTTAATATAGACTAGGTTACATTTGTTATTCGTGTACATTTGTGGCTAGCCTGTCTTCAACGTTTAATGTGTGTAGTAGTGAGTTAATTGAGAAGTGTTAATAATGGCAGGATATTCATATCGTGTGCAGGTAGATATGATTTTTACAGAGGGCCGCGCGAATGGTTTTTATTGACAATTTACCTTGTTTTGGTGTGATTAACCCCCCCCCAATAGTTTGGAAAAAGTTTTTTGATACACCTATATATATATATATATATATATATATATATATATATATATATATATATATATGAACAACATACATACATATGATATGTAACTCTACAATTAGCATAATTCTTTAAAAAAGAATTCTATAATAGAAGAAGAATATGCAAAAAAAAGAGATTTATTTCTTTTTGGTGTGATTTCGAGAAATGTGTAAAATATCCTGCGAGACACGGGAAATGCTGATTAACTTAACAAATGAACAGATCGACCAATTTTACACATTTTTTTCCTGAACGTTTTGAATGCATCTCGTGTACATATATATATATATATATATATATATATATATATATATATATAAAGAACTGACGTAAATTTATGTGTCTTTGAACTTAATTTCGTTGCTTTTATTTTCAAAATAGAAGTGAAAACCAAATTATTGAAGAATTTTTTGTTAGTCCGGACATTGGGACTTCAGCATCGTGTTAATGGAAGGATTTTTTTTACCCACAAGGGACAAGAGATATTTAGACTGGCCCCAGAAGAGACGGGTAAAATTATTACTGGTTTTCATGAAGAGTTATCTTTGTCATTTCTTTTTTTTTTTTTAATTATTATTTCTTTTCTTCTTTTAAAATTCAAGCAACGAACACGCTTTTCATTTGGGTCGTCTTGTGTTTAACTGCCATTCGAAATGATTATGAAATTGTTCCCCGCAGCCATTGTATGAGAAATTTCGAAAGGAAAAGTCTGAAATTTATTTTTGTGTTAGTTTGAGAACATAAGAAAGATTTACAAGCCAAAAGAACAAAAAATAATACTAAAAAAAAAGTTTAATTTCAATGTATATGCAAACTTGAAATACAAGCCAGTATATGCATGCATGCATATATATATATATATATATATATATATATATATATATATATATATATATATATATATATATATATATATACTGAACAATGGAAAAGATGACGAAAAACAAAATAACGGACAAGATAATAATTAAAAAAAAAGAAAAAATCAATAACAATGGTGATGTTTTTTCGTTTTTTTTTCTTTTACCTTTTATGTGATTTAAAAAAAAAGGATTTTTTACTTATTGTCGACCTGGTATTTTAGTGGAAAAATATTTTTTTTTATTTTTATTTATTTTTTAAAAAATTCTTCTGAACTGTTTTGATTAGAAAAACGAATAAAATGATTGGTTACATTGTTTTTGGGCAGTGCGTAACGAGTTCGTTTGCGATATTTCTGTTACGGTTTCAACCCCGGCTGGTACATTTAGTCCACATCACTTATAATTTAATAAATGCTTTATAAGCAGTTCCTCATTAAAACAATGAGCTGGATACAATTTGGGCATCAGAATTGTTTAGCTTTTTGCCAAGTTATCGTTCAATTATTACTAAATTAATAAACCCGTAAGTGAAATGACTTTTATTTGCTACCCTCAGCTTTGGCCATTGTAGCTGTCCGTCTCAGTGGCCCAACTAAATTTGTAATATACAAAATACATGTATCAAAACTAATGACCGAAAATTAAACGCATGGAAATTTAGAGTATGTAGTTGGGTAGGGGCTGGATGTCCAAATGTCAGAGGTCAGAGGTCGGTTTTATGGTTTTAATTTGTGCGAGAAGCGAGGGTGGCTTTTAAAAGACTTTTGTCGCGTCTCTTGGGAATGAAAGAACGTTTTTAAACTTAAAAGGATTCTTCACGGACGAAAGTGGATATGTATACGTATCAAAATATATATATATATATATATATATATATATATATATATATATATATATATATATATATATATATATATATATATATATATATAGTAAGGTGTTCGATTGACTTTCTTAAAAAAAATTAAATCAGGTATGTTTATTTAGAAGCTTGTTTTTCACTAAATTTAACATTTATAGCAATATACGAAACTATCTATCAATCTATCTATCTATCTATCTATATATGTGTTCATCGGTGTATCTATCTATCTATCTATCTATCTATCTATCTATTCATATCTATTTATCATGTGTATGTATGTCTGTCTTTTCATATCTATCTCAACCTGTTCATATCTATCTATCTATCTACTTTTCTGTCTGTCTATCTATCTATCTATCTATCTATCTATCTATCTATCTATCTTTGTATACATACAATTGTAATATTTTCTGAACTGAATGAATCGTAAGAAATGTTCAAATTGTCCCTGTTTCCTGAAAACTTTTAGACAATTTCAAGTTCTTTTTTTTTGTTATTATACTAAATATTGAATTTCCTATTCTTGACATAGCTCTATAAAGCTGATAATGAGATAAACATTGGAATAATTTACTAAAGTTTATATTAGTAGTAGTAGTAGTAGTAGTAATAATAATAATAATAATAATAATAATAATAATAATAAGAAGAAGAAGAAGAAGAAGAAGAAGAAGAAGAAAATAGTAGACTTTTTTCTAGCTGTTTAATTAATTCGGTACATTTTTAAGAAGAAATCCAGTTGAACAGATGACATGTCTATAATTCCATATTTGTTTCAATTCTATTCGACTGTGTTGAAATAGCAGACGACAACGATGCTTACTATGACGAACGTTGTAGCTTTTCTAATTTACGCCTGAATTTTGACAAAGCAGATATAAATTCTTTCTATAGAAACACGATGGATTTTAAAAAAGTAATTGAACAAAGGTAATAAACGTACTTGATTGAAAACGATAGTATGTATGTGTGTATATCTGTGTGCGTGTGTCTCTGTGTATGAGTGCATGTGGTGTAGGCAGAAAAAAAAACCGTGCACGTGGTATAGGTGGAAAGATAAGAAGGATAAAGAAAGAGAGAAAGAAAGAGAGAGAGAGAGAGAGAGAGAGAGAAAGAGAGAGCAGATAGAGAAACGCTTCCTTCAAAAGTAAATACAATTAATTTATCTATAGCAGCGTTTCTCATTTTTTTAACCTTGTGCCACCCTTGGAATAGCTGTCCTGTCTCAGAGAACCCTTGCATAAAAATTATTACTTACCATTATTAATATCTATCCCGTTTATATTTTTATCTTGGTTCACGTGGTAAACATATGGACAGTGTTCATGTGTCCTATACTCGAGTGAGTCTCTCAATGATACACCAATGAAGGTGGTTTCAAACTGACACCAAATAGACATTGCTAAGTACATTCCCTATGATTATTATAATTTTAAATAATATAAAAAGTTGAAGGCCTTATTATAATAGCCAAGTATTTTCCAACAATATGCTGTACCTGTATAGTAAAATTACCAATATAAAATTACTCAAAAATACATTAGCCTATTTATCACCGAAAAAACTGACCATTGTAAAATTTAAATATTGATATTTATAACATACTGTTAGGATAGTGGGGAAGTTTATTTCTGGGACCTCCAGCTGTTGATCTTGTTGTTTATGTTGAAGGAAAAGTCTTGAAAACCATTTCCTCTTTCACCTATCTTGGCTCCATTGTATCCAAAGATGCTAAAATGGACGAAGAAATTTAGTGCAGGATTGGAAAGGCTAGTTTTGTAATACCCATGTGTATAATTCCGTAGTACTGACATCATTACTCTATAGTACAAAATCTTGACACTGTACTAACGACACCTTAATCAACTTGTTGCCATCCTCATGAATTGCCTATGTACGATCTGCAACAGAAAATTGGGTGATTGTATTAGAAATGGTGAAGATCTGACTAAATGTAACAAAACTGGTATTGAAGCCATCCTAATGAAAATCCAACTCAGACGGGCAGGACATCTTTCTCGTATGAGCGATAGCAGACTTCAAAGCAACTCCTCTTTTGGCCAACTTCTAACAAGCAGGTGGTCAATTGAAGGACACTCTTGCGTTTCAAAGACAAACTCAAAGAAAATCTGAAGTGATTCAACATGCCTTATTCTTTCTAAGAAAACAAAGCATCAGAGTAAAGGAGCTGGGCACCTGTCCTGCTTCTCTATGACGATGAGATATTGAATTACTATGACAACAAGATATCACATTACTATGACAAGGAGATATCACATTACTATGACGACAAGATATTACATTACTATGACAACGAGATATCTCATTATTAACAGGAGGACAAGACCATACTGTGTGGATGTTAAATATAGTCATAGTGGGTTTTATAGAATGTTCTTTTCTATTTATGCCTACCCTATTCTGTTGCACAAGAGAGAAAAGTAGGTTGGGGGGGGACATTAACTCCCCCTCTCTCTCTCTTGGCCATTACTTCAAATTGTTTCTTTAAACTAATAGCTTTCACTTTAAACCAAAGAAGCAGGCATTGATTTTGGCAAAATTAACCTTCACATTGACTGAGTTAAAAAAATGATACCGCTATGCTCAATGGAATGTTGCCAATTAGGAGATGGAGGAACCTTAGCAGCAGAGCAGATGATATCGATATAGGTAGAAAATGTCTAATTATCTTTCGGATGTTTATTCTGTATTTCTGAATATAGATTTTAAAATGTAAAGTTTCTGTCAAGGTGTGGTGAATTTGTTGGCAGGATTGTAACGAAAGACATGACTTATCTCGGAATTCGAAACGAGCGCGAACGTGTCTTGCCTGCAAAGTGATGACAAAAAAGAAATATGGCCGCTATTGAAGACACAATTTATGCGCGCCTATCTCGTCCAAAACGAGATGATATTTGCACACAAGTAAATTTCGGTCGTATTGGAATAACGTAAAAAGCGGGGTGCAAGCAGGACGACAGAACCGAAGTCATTCGGCGGACTGCGTGCAATAGAGCTGGGCATACGGACTGACACACGGACAAAGAGGAAGTCGAAGTAGGCGTGGCTGAGTTGGTGTCTGTTTCACAACTGCCCAGTGTAGCAGCTGAGAAAGGGAGCCTCGCAATCTATTTCCTTGAGGCGACCGAAGAAGAAGAAAAAATAGCCGGCCTGCCGGCGAGCACCGCACTGCACTTTTGGACCACCCCCAAACATCATTTTTTTCTACAAGGATCCTGCAAAAAAAATGAATATTTAGAGCAGTGTTTCGCTACTTTTTTCCCATGTGGAACCCTTGAAATAATTTTCATGTTTCAGGGAACCCTTGCATATAAATTATTACCATTATTAATATGTATCCCGTTTATATTTTTTTTATCATAGTTCACTTGGCAAACATATGGACATTAATGCATGTGTCCTATACTTGAGTGCGTCCTTCGACACACCAACGAAGGTGGTTTGAAACTGGCACCAAATAGACTTTGCTAAGTACATTCCCTATGATTATTATAATTTTAAATAATATTAAAAGTTGAAGGCCTTATTATAATAGGCAAGGATTTTCCAACAATATGCTGTACCTGTATAGCAAAATTACCAATATAAAATTAAACAAAAATTACTCAAAAATGCATTAACCCACTTAACAATGTTTGGGCGGAACCCCTAGGGACCCCTTGCGAAAGCCTAGTGGCGGAATCGGGGACACGCCGGTTGCGGGACCCCCTAGCGACCTCTTACAGAAGTCTAGTGTTCCGGGGACACACCGGTGGCGGAAACGGGGACACGCCGGTTGCGGGACCCCCTAGCGACTTTTTTACGGAAGTCTAGTGTTCCGGGGACACACCCGTGGCGGAATCGGGGCACGCCGGTTGCGGGACCCCTAGCGACCTTTTTACGGAAGTCTAGTGTTCCGGGGACACACCCGTGGCGGAATCGGGGGCACGCCGGTTGCGGGACCCCCTAGCGACCTTTTACGGAATTCTAGTGTTCCGGGGACACACCCGTGGCGGAATAGGGGACACCCCGGTTACGGGACCCTATGGTTCCGAGGACACACCAGTTAAGAAACACTGATCTATAGTATCGCTAATCCTTCTATGAAAGTTGGCGAAACCGTTTTCTCATAAAGAACAATTAATCAAGAAAAAAAAAAGAAAGAAAAAAAATCCCTTAAAAAACGATTAATAATGTTTTTATTTAATTGAAGTTCTCAATTATCGTTGTTTGTTTTATCAATCCATATAGATCAAAGTGTCCACTCTTATGAACATTATTATAACAATTTTATATAGTTATTGCCAAATGTTGAGGCCTAAAAGTTAAAAGTGCGTATTATACACGAGATGCCGAAAAGTCAGAGGTGCGTATTATACACATGGTTTTCATACGCATCATTTAGTCTCTTTCATTTCTGTTCGTGTAAAAAGCTGACGCCATGAGAGTTATATATCTGTTATCAGCGTAGTAGGTGCCGTCATCATTTTCGATGTCGCCATCGTCGTCCACAGTGTCATATTGCACTCACAAAAAAAGGGATGCCATCTTCACTAACTTTCAATCGCAATGAACGAGCACAACAGAGCCAAGTGGACGTTTGTGGCTTTTGGTCATACCGAATGCCTTTCAGTTCAAATGCTTGAGAAAGCTCCCCTAGCCCCGCATCGCCTACTGGGAGCGCACAAAACCAGTGAAAATGTACGGAGCAAGATCAGATGCATTGTTGGCCGATAAGAATCTCTCCTCTGCCACTATTAAACGTCGGAAGATGGCATCGTTTAGCCACGTCACGCGGTATAACAGCCTCTGCATGACCATCATGCAAGGCCACTGTTGACGGCAGGCGTATACGAGGACGGCAACTCAAGAGCTGGTCAGGCAACACCAAAGAATCGACGGACATGACAACACCTGAGAGCCGCCGTCAACGGAACTGATCACCCTAGAGAAGGTTGCCTTTTTCTTTTGCCCTTAGATACCCCCGACGACCATAGTCATTATTATTATTATTATTGTTGTTGTTGTAGCTAGTTTTCCTGATTTGCTATTTGATACAATCCTTTACCGTGTCTTTTACGTGACTTGACGTAAAAAAGGCTCTTCTAATAGTTGTTATTATTATTATTATTAATCCTCTTCTACGGGTGTGAGATTTGGACATTCTTGGTTTAGGCAGGGAAGAAGATCCAGGAGTTCGAGAAGAAATGCTTGAGAAATCTCCCCCACCCCTGCATCTCCTACTGGGAGCACAAAACCAATGACAATGTACAGAGCAAGATCAGAAGTCTTTTTGGCCGACGAGAATGTCTCCTCTGCCACTATTAAGCGTCGGGAGATGGCATTGTTTAGCCACGTCACGCGTTATAACAGCCTCTGCATGACCATCATGCAAGGCCACTGTTGACGGCGGG